TGTCTGACGTTAACTAGCCTTTGCTTCCCGCTTGACATTGCTGAACACCTTGAGTCCTAAGGTAGCAGAGAAAGAGATGCTGTAGTTCAGATTAGATATTTTCTTTAATCAAGGAAACAGTTTTTTAAACAGTTAGTTTTTTAAACCACAAAAAGATCAGTTCTGTAAGTAAAGCGTTGGGCACTCCCTGCCACTCTGCAAGCCTTTCCTTGCACACTGAACACAATGTGGCGTCATGATGGGAGATTGAAGACCCCTCCCTGAGGCAGGAATTCCAACTCAGGTGAAACCCAGAGGTGAGAGCACAATAGCTTTGAAAATGGCTCACTGGGACTACCTGGTTACATTTATAGTTTTAAATTAAAACCTTGTCTATGTCATTTTCTCTTTTTATTTGGGCCAATGAGGTTCTAAGAAATGTTGAGGATTTGGGCAATCAAAGGGACCTAGAACCAAAGGGGATTGCTGGAAGAAAATGCATCCTGGATATCATTTCCTGTGAAAGCTATTTTACCAGTGGACAGTGGGTGCTCTGGGAGCGACAGAAGTGGCCCCTAAAATATAAGCCTAGATTCCCATCACTTGCCAGGTGGAGGTCAGGATGGTCATTCCAGCCACCCTTTCCATTTGCCAGTTCTTCGTCAGGACTTACTTCTTCCTCCTCCTTTCCAGTGCTCAGACTCAAACCCAGGGCCCTGGGCAACAAAGCGTGTGCCTCAGTGCCAAGCCACATCCCCAAGCATGGCTCACGGCCCCATGGGATTACAGCAGCTCTTTTGAAGACATTTGCACCAGACAGCCCTCTCCTGCCCATCCGTCACCGGGCTGCAATGGCAGTCAGCCTGGCCAAGCAAGTCCATTGTTGACTGAGCTTGATTGTGGTGTCACCTGGCTCCAGTCCTGGCCTCTTTCACCCCTCAGGGCAGGTGCCTCCTTGCTAATGAAGCAGGGTCAGTGTTGTCGCTATTTAGCAGAGTCTCGCTGTCTCGCTTTCACTTGAAGATGTGCCCGGGAGGCAGAAGCTGTTGACACCGCCTCAGATAAAGCACCGAGGATAGCAAACTGCCATGGACCAAGAACGCCAGAGGGAAGTCGAAGGGTGCCAAGGAAGACGGAGGGGTGCTTGCCACTCTCCCTGTTGCGAAATTGGCCACTTCACTTGCCCCAAGCACCTGTCAGTGGGAGCAGAGGACCCTCAAAGCCTCCTTCCCCGTGCCCCAAACTCAGAGGGAAAGTGGGTCACATTGTGGAGGGCCCTTTCTCTCCTGACATGCACCGAGGTATCACTTAGCTGGATCTTTATCTCGAGTGCTAACTGACACTGTTAACTTTCTGCCCCGGTGCCAGGAAATAGTAATGAGGAAATCACACTGTGTTCATCTTGTACTTGGAAGTTATATTTAGAGAATCGTGTTCTTGAGCCAAAGGGCACTAAATAACCCTAAACTGCTCAGTCCACTTGAAGAGATGAGGCCTTGAAAAAGTCTCCTTGGAACCTGCTTGGTGCCACCTGTCATAATCCTAGCACTTAGGAAGTAGAGGCAGGGGAGTCAGGAGTTCAAGGCCAGCCTCAGCTGCTCAGTGAGTTGGAAACTAGCCTTGGCTACATGAGACTCTCTAAAAATTTAAAGGGTGGGGGGAGTTATCCTACTGCCTTGTAGAAATTCGTATATAACTAAAAAGTAGGACTTCAGGGCTTTCTTAGCTATTTATTAATAGGACTGGACCTAATGTGTTACCTTCCTCCAAAATTAGGTGGCTATTCCTATTCATAGGAATTTCAGTGGTGTTAAGGTCTCATCCTTTCCTGTGTTGTTTAAAGCAGTGTACTGCCTTGTAACGCTTCAATGCTCACAAAATTATAATGTAGATACAGTGTAGGCATACAGAGATATGTGTGGGTATATAATTAAATGGAGATATACATCTAAGCACTTCGCCTTCCTCAACACCCTCTGGGACTGTTGATGAGTTATCTGCCTCTGGTATATATAGTTTCTTATTTGCCAGGCGCTGACTGATAATGCAGCCTCGCACAGGCTCCCACGAGGATCACGTGAGCTACTCCGTGCAGTGTGCACGCTCCCCGAACAGTGCTCAGAAATATTAGTTGTCGCTGTTCCTTCCATTATCCAGGTTTTTATGTTCATTTATTCTCCTAGTTCATAGCTGTTGTTTTAGCGTGCCTTCCGTGGCTGTGGTGAACACTGTGACCGAGAGCAACTTAGAGGGAACAAAAGGAATTCTTTCAGATGGCACTCTTGAGTCCTAATCCAAGATTGAGGGAAGTCAGGGCAGGATCTAAAGTGGGAACCAGTCAGGAACTCTGCTTGCTGGCTCCCTCCCGACCTTCTGTTCAGCTGTCTTTACTCTACAGACTAGAGCTCCCGCCTAGGGATGGTACTACCCACAATGGACTGGGCCCCCTATGTCAATGCTCAGTCCAGAAAATGCTCCATAGATATGCTTACAGGCCTGTCTGATCAAGGCAATCCCCCAGTTGAGACTCCCTCAGAGGATAACTCTGAGCCCTGTCAAGTTGGCAGCTGAAACTGGCTAGAACTAACCAACTACATTTGATTTTGCCTTTCTTGGCTAATACATGAAAGTCTGTAATGCCTTTTCTTTTACCCTGGATTTTTCTTTTTCACGTTTGCAAAGACCATGAGAAACCTCTGAACATGTTAAGCAAGAGCAATGGTCAGTCTGTGAAGAGCTAAAAGTATAACTATGAGAGTGTGCTGAGAAAAGCGGTACTCCAGTTAGCACAGGCCCTGGGTGACCAAGGTCATACACACAGGAAGTCACAGGTGTGTTTTTTATTGTAAAGCAAAACAAATCCTTCCTTAGATTATACTTCGACCAAGGCATTCTATGCTTCACATTCATTTCTTAGCCCGTGGGGGGGGGGCAGAGTGATGCCAAAGAGCTCTGAAAACCCACTGAGTTCCCGCTTCAGTGGGACATCAAACATACAGATAGGATGTTCAGCTTGTCGCATGGTTTCTTCAGATTCGGCGGCTGTCGCGCCCAGCAAGAACGCCTAGCTCCATCTCCTCATTTCCGCATTCAGCAGAGCTAGGCTTTTCCCCCCGTGCTAGTATACAAGTGATGGAGCATTGAGGTGATGTCTCCATCTGCAGCTCCACAGAAACAAGCGCGCTGAATCGCTGAAGACAGTGGAGTTGTGTGTTGGGAAACATTCCTGTACACACACACACACACACACACACACACACAAACACACACACACTCCACAGCTTAAGGTGGCGTAGGCAAGTGTGGCATTTTGGAAGAACACTCTACATTGAGTCATGACCAGGAAACTGGTTGGCTACCCTTAAGCAACTGAGTACAGGACTGATAAGGACTAGCGTTTCCAGGAACTTGGACTATCGTTATGATCAGAACATTTGTGTTACAATCATATTCCCCACTCATGATTCTACTCCCCCAGATAAGCCCATATTCTCCATGCGTCCTTGCTTATTGTCCTTTCCTCATATGCAGTCAATAAATATAATAAATAGCTGTTGCAGAAATCCTCCTCCCTTGAGATCGATAGTATTTTGCATCTGCTGGAGAATTTCATCTCTGTGATATCCTGCTCCACAAGGCAGCACACCTGGCTCTTATGGGCCTCCCAGTGTAGGTAGTCTACCAAGTGGCCTGCGTGACCACCCCTCCAGCCGTATCCACACCTCTGGCTCTCCAGCACCAATGCTTTCCCTGTCTAAAATTCTCCCACCGATGCACTTTCCTCTACCAATTCATGTGTAACTCTTCCTTCAAATCTTCAATCCAAAGTTGCCCATTTTAGAAAGTCTCTATCAAGACTCTTCCTTGCCGCTCCCTTTGGTTCGGTTCTGCGTCCCCCATAGCTTTGCTACGTTTGCCCACTTCCTCATGAGTGGATCTGCATTCCATCTGTTTCTTCATGGACCTATGAAGCTTTGCTCGCCTTGATCATCTTTAGGCACACGTGGATTCTAACGGAAACTGTTTTAAGAGAAATTATTAGCTTAAAAATCTAATAAAGCCCCATCTTATATACATAAAATTTATATACATACAAATCCTGAATGCCACTTTATAACTAAGCCATTATACTCACTATGTCTTGTCTTCTTTTTACTATGTGCATGTTTTTATTTTCCAGTCTGCAGAATAAAATTCAAATGAACTTAGTTATTTTTTTTCATGTGTACAGTAAACAAGATGCCAAATGACCTTGTTTAGATGGAAGGTAACTTTCCAAATGTCAGTAAATTCACTAACTGTCTTCTAGGTTTGTTGTAATTTGGTGTTGTCTCTTGTCTCACTTTCTCCTTCCTTTGATCTAGTATTGAAGTCACAGTGTTACATATGTTTTATGTACGAGAGCTTTGAAGTGAGAATCAATCACATCTGAGATCAAGGATCGTCCTTACCTCCCTTGTGGCACGAGCTATAATTGGCCCTGGAACCATCCAAGATGGCATACTAAGTGCATGTAGATGTCTCCAAAACGTAGTGCCATCTTCATTCAGCAGCATCTGTTTCCATGCTGCCCGGTCGCTCTGCTTGATCTCAGAACAGGGACCCCCGGAACCAGGCACAGAGCAGACAGGCTTTTTGCTAAGGTGCAGTGATTGTGGAAGTTCATGCCTGCGGGTGTGAATAGGGTACTCGATGCAAATGCTGCCAACCAGATCTTGAGAAAGCAATCTTCCTGGCATGAGCAGAGGTGGGAGGGCCCTGCCAACCAATCTCCTGTCCTGATCCTGTGGTCCATTCACGGAACTTCTAGGTTCTCAAAGACTTCTCATAACCTCCATTATGGAGCAAGGTTTGCGATGTTGAAACCTCGTAGAAAAATGCCAGAGATGTAGTCAACACTGCCTTCTCAATGTCTGTGGCGCCTAAGACTGTATTTTTTGACTGTATTTTTTCCTGCATGCTCATCCATCGTGGTGTTTGTAAGTAGCAAAAAAATGAGCCTGATTTGTTCTCCTTTGTAGAGCCAGGCCGAGGCCCACTACAAAGGAAGTAAACATGCCAAGAAGGTCAAAGCACTAGAGGCAACGAAAAATAAACCCAAAATGGTTTCTTCCAAGGACAGCGCAAAGGCTAATCCCAGCTGCTCCGCCAGGCCAGTCACAGGCGACAGCTCTGACAAATCAGGTCAATGACACTTTTTGTTCTTTGGCGTTGTTGTGTTCCTCCTCCCGCCCCTCCCGTCCTACCCCACCCCATTTTCCTCCCCCCCCCCTTGGATGTTGCATGTTACTCTCCATGATTTATTTCTGTAATATGATATGTTTCCTTCGCAAGAAGGGATATGTGTTAGCACAGAATGTAAACATTTGATATGTCGCCATTCCGTGTTGTAAAATAGATGCCTTTAAATATATGTGTGTGTATATGAGTATATATGTATCGCAATAATCAAAGACTGCTGGTCACGTGTTCAGACAAAAATCAAGTGATGGATATAAAACAGTGGTATTACCTCTTTCTGTTCCTTCTGTGTTTGGTTTGTGTTACAGGCTTTTTTGGATAAGAGATTCTTAAGATTGTTCATAATAGATTTTTTTAAATCTAATCTCAGTGAAGAGTTGGGGGTGACATTTACAGAGAGAACGACAGTAGTGGGTATGAACCTGTGCTTAGAAGTAGGAGATTCTGACTTCATAACACCACTGTGAAGCTCTCCTCTGAATTACAAATCGATCCAAATAATTTAAAGGAATTATTTACAATGTCATGAATTGCTTAACAGAAAGGTCTTAATATATAATTAGAAATATGCTGTTGGAAATTCTTTAATACAGAACCTGCAATATCTGGGTGCGTTCTTTCACTGGGAAACAGAGTTCTCTCTCTCTCTCAGTGTGGCTACCATGAAATTGAATGTTGATGGGTTCCCCTCTCACAGCTGCCCCCGGGACCCATAACGGATTTGTCATCCTGTTTTAGTGGTTAGCCGTGGAGCAGAGTCTGTTAGAGGACACTAAGAGGACGTGTCCCTTTCTTCCTGTTGATTCTGGCATTAGGGACTTCAATGTTGTGGGAAATACACACTTCAGGTTCTCTCCTCATCATCAAACTCCCTGTAGCCCTTGAGGAAGAAGCTGAAGAATGCTTACCAATGACTTCCCAGGGCCCTTGGAAATGAGCAAATCCATTACTGTAAGAGGAGCGTTCAGAACGCCTCTTCAGATAAGAAAACTATGTCCCATAGATGCTGGCTCCAAAAGCATGGAAGCCTAAAATTAAGCTACCAAAATCGGTGTTAATAATACCAATTCTCTATGCTTTATATGATAGGGTCACCAATTGATCTTATCAAGGAAACGTGATAAATACTGGACTTTTACATAGTACTTCTAACCTTGTAAAGAACAAAACCCCTGTATAGATAAATATAAAACCTAATATTTAACCTATGCCTAAAGCGGTTACAAGTGTTGATGCCAAACCCTATTTCCATGTGCGCAATTTCACAGTCGGCGTCACGGCACATGGTGAGGCCAATGTCAAGACGGCTCTCTGCTAGCAGTTGCCCTGTGTTTGGGAGAGCGGAATCCATCATCCCCTGACTTCCTGCCAGCTTTCATTTCCCCAAGAATATTGTTGCCTTTACGAGGCAATACTCTGCCAAAGGTTTTATTACCTGAATTGTGGTCTTTACCTCCAGCAGAATTACAAGTAAAAGGATAAAATAATCGAGGTTAGTGTCACCCTATTCCCTCGGTTTATTTTGTGGCTTGAGCTAATCAAAGAGCCAGTGGGCTCCATAAATGCTCCAGCATCGCAACCCAATGTGCTCAGTGTTTTGCTTAAGCCCTGTAACACTTGGGAATTGTGTTTGCTCTGAGGGCGGTAGTAAAAGTAATGAGTAGAACATGAAGTGGAAAGGGTCAAAGGGTAGAGGGGATCGAATCAAGGACAGAGCCCTGTGGGCGTAGAAGATGCAAATGAGAGAGACCAGGTTGTAATCATAGCCTCTCTGGGGCCTATAGGGTGCCCAGTGAAGACTGCTGAAATAAATTTTACCAATTCAGGGTTTTTTCTTCCAACACATGAATTCTGGCATTCACCAAGGACTTATGTTCATGAAGCAGAGAGACCCGCAGGCCGTGGTTTGCCTGGTGAGCTATTGGAACAATCTAGAGTCAAGGATGCCAGTGATCTAAACAAAGAAAGAACGCTGAGGTTCGGGAGAAACCCTGGGGGATGAGAGTGAAGGGATGGAAACAGAAATCACAGTGCAGCATCTCTAGGGTGTGTGTGAGGTGGTCTTTCATCCCACAGCCTCAACTTTCCCTGTTAGAGGACCGCATGCCCCTGCCGCAGTGCCTGTAGTCTCTCAGCCTGTAGCAGTCACTGAGAAACTCTCCAGATTTGTGTCAGCAGTAAGGAAAATGTTTGCATTTGGGAGTGCCCGTTTTCCCTGACAATCACTCAGAATCTGTATATTTGTGAAGACACTGATTAGATTACTCGTGGTTTGCATAAGTATTAATGTAAATGGAGTATATTATTTCTATGAGAGCTAACAAAACATCAGTATCACTTGGGAACAGTATTTGAAAATAATTGAGCTGTACCTGTTAAATGTATGTTCTTCCCCTTTAGTTGGAATTCATTTCTAAGCAGGAATTTCTTTGTGTTTTATAGAAGTTCCAAATGAGGAAACTAGAAACTCTGGCCAGCTAGAGGATCTTTTCTAAGTAGCATAACCGACGGTAAATTGCTAACCAGCTAGTTCTAAGCCCTTGAACTGCTCCCATGGCTTTGCCATTATCTGTGTCTCTTATTCATTTAAAATACTGTTTGGGAAAAACAGAAGACAAAAAAATAAATAAATAAAATGGAATAACAAGTATTCCAGTCCTTTGTAGATGGCCTGGGTAGAATGGGGTGAGAGAGACCGGGAAGCGGGATGGAGACGTAGGTAGTAGCTGGCGGAAATGCTTCATCAGACAACATTGTCTCTAAGGTATCAGCTGAAACCTGGGCACAGGGACTCCTCGCTTGACTGTCAAGTCCCATGAGGCTGCCATTCTCCAGCATTTTGTTGTTGTTGTTGTTCTGAATGAAGAGTCCCTGCCAACTTGTTTTAAATAGTATCTCTGATACCTAGGTTTTTGGAAGAGAAGTAAGAGAAGAGAAGTAAGATGTCTGGGCTGCAGGCTTCCAACGACACAGACAACCATTATATCCCCAGGGTTCACTAATCCAGCGTCTAGCCTCATTTAGTATCAGCGTAGGAGCAGAATGTTGTTTAAGGGAAGCACATCTTGAAGGAAAAGGAAGAGCCCCGCATTGAGGGAGGCGGCTTCTAGGATTCATTGAGTGCCGTTGAGCATGAGGTGAGGATTTGGAGTTTCTGGCTGAGGAACATGGGGACCCAAGGACCCCTCTCTGTGATCCTTCATGCTGCCCTAGAGCACACTTGGTCTATTCTAAGATGGTACTTCCCACCCTGCAGGGGTTGGGTGAGCCTTCCTACCTGCAACTTTGACGCTTAGTGTAACCATTTCTCTCTCTTTTACGCTTTATTTGGAGACATAATTTGGCTCATGTTGAATCCAGGTCTGTTCAACACAGAGAGATTTGTTATAATAGAACCAACAGATGTAAAAAGGTCAGGACGACATGGCAAGCTCTCTGGGTCTTTCTCTCAGGTCAGTAAACAAAATAGGTTTAAACTACAATAAGCAGGTGCCTCGTTTATAGGAAATTCCAACTGCATGATTTTTTTTTAAAGACTAAGGAAAGTAGAGCAAGAATAGCTGTCCCACTCAATCCTTAGAAGTTGAAGTAGAATTAAATGTAAAATACAGATAAATAACTTTCTGGCCTCCCAGGATCTGCCCCAACTTTTAATGACACTTCAGTGGGCATTAGAAACATAGTGAGGAGGGGAGGGAGCAGCTGGGGAGAATTAGGGTCAGAACACAGCAAGCATTAGGTAGCTTCAGGAAGACAGCTGGAACTGATAGGTTAGACACTGCACCCAAATCTCTCCCTGGAGTTCAGGTGTTGTAATGGCGTGAGACACCGCCCATCCCTGTGATGTTGTGCCCCACATCACACTGCAGGCTCCTTCAGCATTTCAGAACTTGCAGGAGGTTCAAATTCACAGAGTCTTCAAAGGAAACCTTATTTCTTACAAATAGTAAATCATCAACACAATCAGCCATGTTCCATAATCCTAGGCTTTGCATAAGGCCTTTAAAAACATTAATGAAGTACTACAATGAAGAAAATATTCTTGGTGTAAAGTATATATGATTTAGAACTAAGCAGACTTCTAAACAAAGGAAGGCATGAGGAATGATTTCTAGTGTCCAGATAAATCTATAAACGCAATTAAGAGAAAAATCAAAGGACCAGAACGTTTTGTGTGAAATACAACCACAGGAGCATTAAAACATGCTTGGTTTGCAAGATGCAGGCACATATATGTTTTCATGTGGTGCCTTCGGGAACCTTGCAACAATAGGGTGAAAATCCATATCTACTCTTTCTTTCTCGTGCAGCCAGCTGCGTTTCCATAGTTGCTTTTCCTCTATACTCTAATATAATGTGGTACATGTATGTGTATTTCTGTCAGACTCATACAACAATGAGTAGAAAGATTTTCTTTTTCCTCCTCTAAGGGCTTTTTAATCTCACAGCATTTTAAAATTTGAAATGAGTGAGTTTTAAGACAGGTAATACATAGTCACCAGCACCTCCAAGCTGCTCCCCAGGCTATGGTATCAGTGAAGAACCGGAGACTGAAAAAGTAGATTCTCTTGAGTGTGAATCTGCATGACTCAAATCCCAGCAGAGTCAGGAACAACCTGGAACTTAGGCTTCTTGCTTCACGCTTATTTGACCCCAATTGCTCCTAAACCTCTCTGGCTTAGAAGAGCACACTCGGGAGTGCCAGGGGCTAAGCAGGGATCACCAGAGAACTGTTTCCCAGAGTTAGAAAGCAGGACCTCACTTTACTCTTCAGTGGCCATCGACACATCAGGTACTCCCAGGGCTGTGAGAGCGAATGTCATACATTGCTTTGTTGATAATCCTAAGATTCTTGTGTGGCTGTTACTGGCAGTGCTTAACTGTAATAGGAAGGGCTTTATTTTGGAAGCGATGCGCTTTTTATTTAAGGAGAAATTTGAATA